TGAAGTACTTGTACACATCCAGTACTCTGTCTCCCTTCACTATCTCAAATTCTCCGCAGAAGGTGGTATCAACCTTGATAGATTCATAGAAAATAAAATCCTTTAAAATAAGAGATATTTTCTTTACTGCCAGCAAACAGAACCTTGGCGACGAGGATTACTTTGTTACCCATACGTGCAAGTGCAGTGTTAGTCAAGTGAGGCCGAAATAATTAAAACTATTTTGGTGCAAATTACAAAATGACGGAAAAAATAGTAGGTGTTTTGGACTCATTAAATACCTTCGACCCAAAGTATTTCGACTTTTCGGTTTTCTCTGAGCGACTTAAACAGTTTTTATTGCCAATGAAATAACAGGAGATGATCGTAAAAAAGCAATAATGTTGAATACATTGTCAGAGAATTGCTATCTTCTAAAAAAGGAACTTATGTGTTCCCGACCTTCCTGAAAAGAAGTCGTACGAAGAATTGTGCAAAATGTTAACTGAACGGTTGAAAATTCTATAGCGCGAGACGTGATCCAAATGAATGTGTGTCGGACTGGGAAGCGAGGGTGAAAATGTTATCATCAAACTGTAACTTTGGAGACGAATTAGAAATCGTTTTGCGGGATATATTCGTCATAGGAATCATATGGAGATCATGGACCGGTTGTTCGAGGAGGATGCATCCAAAACTAGTGTCAAACTAAAAGATGTTTTCAAATTGGCCTTGTCCAAGGAGTCAGCCATGAAAGAATTCAGCTTGAGGGAGAGTTCCGGATTTGCCGATGCCGGTAAATTTCCATAGTCAGAGTGAAAAGGTACTGCAGCCGGCTCAGAGATCGAGTTCAGCAGGAAATTCATCTTCCGAGGTTGGTAGATTTCATCAGGGACGATTTCAGATGGTAAGCAAGTGCGCAGTGTATGGAAGAAAAAAACATAAATCGAGTGATTGCTATTTTAAAAATTGTACATGCTATAAATGTGGGTCGAAAGGCCATCTGGCCCCTGTATGTAAAAAACATCACAACATTTTTTGAGTATAGAAGAACAAGATAATATTGTTTCTGGGGAATCAATTTTAAATAGTCGAGGTCTGAATTCAGATAATGAAGAAAATGGTAATGTGATACCAACTTCCATAAAATTATCAGTAGAAAATATTCCGATTGACTTTGAAGCTGACTCGGGATTTGCGCACGCAACAATTTCAAAAAATCTCTATTTGGAATATTTTTAGGATAAACCGCTGTTAGAAAATGATTTAACGTTAACAGATTATATAGGTCTTTCTTTCAAACCTGTGGAATTCTTGGAGTTGAATATAACTTTCGAAGCTAATAAATTCATTCTCAAAACTTATGTTATTAAGAATGGAGGCCCTCCACTTATTGGTAGAAATGCTTTAAAAATATTGAAGCTAGGTATAGGCAAAATAAAATATGTTTTTTCGAATGGAAATTTTTGGAATGATGACAGGTTGAATAACTTAGTTTCGAAAGATAATGATGTATTTGATGGAGAATTAGGAACCTTCAACAAGTTCGAAATCAACTTGAGAATCAAGGAGGGGACCGTTTCCAAAATTTTTCAAGGCCCGACCAGTACCTTTGGCATTAAAATCGAAAATTGAAAATGAAATTAAACATTTAGTTGAAAATAAGGTTCTAATGCCAACTGAATTTTCTGAATGGGCTACTCCAATGTACCTATTTTGAAATCGAATAGTGGCATTCGCATATGCGGAGATTTTGAAGTAACACTGAACCCACATCTGGAAATACCCCACTATCCATTGCCACGTATTGAGTATTTATTTTCTCAATTGCTAGGTCGTAGAAAGTTTATTGAAATTGATCTTTCAGAGGTTTATCAACAGGTTGTCTTATCAGAGGAATCAAGGAAACTAGTCACTATTAGCACCCACAAAGGGATGTTTTCTTACACAAGACTTCCTTATGGTATCACATCAGCTCCATCGTTGTTTCAGAATATTATGAAACAGATGATTGTAATGCCAGGAGTTGTTTGTTCTCTAGACGATGTTTTGATAACTGCTGAAAATGATCAATTACATCTTGAAAAACCCGAAAAAGTTCTGAAACGGCTTCAAGATTGTGGGTTGAAGGTAAAAAAAGATAAATGTAGTTTTTTTCAGAAATCAGTGAAATATTCAGGTCATATAATCGATGAAGATGGCTTACACACTTCGAATGAACGAGTGTTAGCTATCAAAAATGGTTCGTCTCCCAAAACGGTCACAGAATTGAAATCATTTTTGGAAATGATTAATTTTTATGGCCAGTTTATTCAAAATGCATCAGATATAATAAAGCCTTTGTATAGTTTGTTGAAAAAGAAATACGAAGTGGTTTTGGTCAGAAGGATATCAGAAAAATTTTGATAAGGCTAAAAACATGTTAATATCCTCTTCCGTACTAGCACATTTTGACCAACAAAAAAAATTTAATTATGGACGCGTCACAATACGCACTGGGAGCAACATTGAGTCACATATTTGATGATAATTCAGAAAAACCAGTTGCTTTCGTCTCACGATTACTTAACACAGCCGAACTTGATTATTCTCGAATCGAAAAAGAAGCAGCAGCAATAATTTTCGGCATGAAAAAATGTTTTCAGTACTTTTATGCTCAACATTTTTATTTAAAGAAAAGGCCACAGATGCAATTTAAGGCAAGGTTATTTTAATGTTAAGAATGGCTGGCCTATTGTTTGCCCTTCTGATAGCTTCAAGCCGTACTTTTTACGGTGAAGCGAGATTACGATTGAACAGGACTGTGACATGTGGGGATATCGATTGATAGTTTCGCAAAAATGCCGGAAATATATATTAGATGAGTTACACAGTACACACATGGGTATGGTAAAAATGAAATCCTTGGCTCGAACCTATGTGTAGTGGCCCTTACTTGATAGTGAAATCGAAATGAAGGCCAAAACGTGTCAATCCTGTTCAAAATATTCTAGTAATCCACCGAAAGCTTCATTAACGGTATGGTACTGGGTCAGAGAATCATGGACGAGGTTGCATGCGGATTTTTTTGGGCCGTTGTTCAATAAGAATTTCTTGGTTGTGGGAAACGCAACTTCCAAGTGGATTGAGTTTGTGGAAGTTCATAATATTACCACTTCCACAACCATTAACATTTTTAGAGTCTTCTTTACCCTTTGAACTATGCACAGATAATGCAAAAACTTTCATATAGGAAGAGTTTCAGAATTTTTTACGAGCCAGCGGAATCAAACATTCTACTGGAGCTCCCTACCATCCGGCCTCGAACGGTTTGGTAGAGAGTGGGGTGAAAATAATGAAAAATGCTATTCTCAACCCTAAAAATGATGATCAAAACGCTGATATACATTTGATTTTGAACCGATTTATTTTTCAATACCGTAATACACCTCATACTACCACGGGAGAAACACCGTCAAAATTATTATGGGGCCGCACATTACGTTCAAAATTGGATTTGATAATGCCCTCAGTAAAAGGTACAGCCGAAGAAAAACAAAATAGACGATAACAATATTATAAGGCAAAGAAAGATACATTTTTCGAGGAAAACAGTAAGGCATGGTTGAGAGATTTTCGACCAAGTACCCCTACCTGGTGCTCGGGTATTATAAAGCGAGTTCTTGTTTCCAGAGCATATGTGATTCAAACAGATTGTGGAATGACATGGAAAAGGCACAAAAATCAAATCAAAGCAAATTATATGACGAATAACGAACCTGTGTCAGTTTCAATCACTCCACGATCCCAAATAAATGGAACGAATGATGTAAATAGAGCGGAACAGTATACTAATTCAACCACATATAGTGAATTTGTAAATAATGGAAATGTAAATAGTAACATTATGATGAGTGATAATTTAGATAGTGGAACTTGTAATAATGTAAATAGTGAAATTACTAATAGGAACACATTTTCACCAAAAACTTTAAGGCGTCGTAGTTGAAAAAAAACAGTCAGATTTGACACAAATTTTTAATTTTGTTTTTCATTGGTGAGAAATAATTTTTGTAAATATATGTAAAATGTAGGGAAGAGGTGTTATATATTGGCATATTTGTCGAGTACCACTTTGTTTGGCTACTCGACCGTGAATATTAAAAAGATATTATTTTTATGGAGCAGCTCGACTTCGAGCCAATATGTGATTTCAGGCACAGTTTGGAGAATAAAATCCTTTAAAATGAGAGATATTTTCTTTATTACCAGCAAACAGAACAATTTCCAACATCTCACCTTGGTGTCGACGCTAAGGACCAAGCCTACCACGCCGATGACCTGAGTTCAATTCTTATACCGATACATTTTTTAAAATTTTATTCCCCTCAGCTTCCGAATACCACATGACTGGTACGCGACAAGGGGACGCAGGAGTGAAGGCCCGAGGAGTGAGGCGGAGTCCCAAGGAGGCACACGCTCTTTGAATCTCTCCGATACTCATTCCATCCTTCTCTGCATCGATTACGTCACACTTCTCTCTCTCCTACTCACTAAAGTGTCTCCGAAACACACCTACCTCGAGTTGGGTGTTCCACAAGGTTCCGACAGGATGTCATGAAAATTGCAAAAAATTTTGCGCCATAAGAAAATACATGGGATTTTGAGTTAGAAGTCGCTTTCTTCATCTACTGATTTGAAGTTCCCGGTGTACGCGCGATAGCTTCTGATTGGTCGACTGGATGAAGAAAACTTTCAATTCGAACTGACATTATACGGATGATTGTCGGAGCACTAAATTAAACGACAGTTGTTTTCCTGGAAGTTTTTTCTTGCAGTACGCTCTGCATGGACATTGTAAGAGAATGAAGAATTTTGGAGATAAGTGAACAAAAAGGAATATACATCGAACACTAAAAAGGACCTCGTGAATATGCCCATACTTTTTTCACAACCTGATTTTCAAGATGGAATGAAGGTCTAACGAAAAATTTTGTACGTAGGAAAGCAGAAAAATATAATCGTCTTAGACTATAACTCACCTATCCAAAGCGGATTCTTGTTGACAGTGGGCGGCATATGCGACAGTCAGCGATTTATTGCACCTCTCGGTCTGCATAGCGGAAACATAGAAAACGAAGTCGAAATCTGGAATGCCTTTGCCTCTTTTCGAACCTTCCACAATCCTGCAGTTCTGACCTGTAGAATTGCACGTCCTACAAGCGTCCAGATGATCTTCTGGTACTTCGACTTCACCGCACATCGTTTTTTCATTGCAGGTATCGATACAGTATGTCCAGCCGTCTTTGACAAACACCTGAGTGGCGCTGCATTTTCTGAAACAAAGATAAAACGTCGATCACGTCAGTGTGGTGCTAATGGCGGCTCTGAATTTTCCCCCCACCACTCGACCTTTATGACTTTGAATATCCTAAAGTACCTTGAACTATGAGCACGTCATATGACTTCGAAAACGGAGTTTGACTTTGACGATCGACTGTCTTTGATACATGACCTGGAGCCACATCATATGACTTTGAATGAAGCCTCTTAGCTTTACCTCGGATTTGACTGGAGAAGGTTGTGCTCATATAAGGAGTGTCGTACGAATGTTTCAGTCATTTTAAATTCTCCTCATCTTCGTCTGATATTATAGACAAGAAGTATACGTGTAGTGAATGTGGAGATTGTTTCACTCGAAGTGACAACCTGCGTCGTCATCAGGGAAATCCTTGTATTTCCGCGAATGATGAAGGGCCATCAACATCGAAGAGGCGGATGTTGAACCCTCTAACACTTCCAGAAATGAAGACATGTTTGTGCTGCAATTTGACTATTACAAGCGATCAGATGAATGTACATCGGAGAACTCTGCAGCATAGAACAAATGCATGTGTTCAATATGGAGACGGTGTTATACGCACAACATTCAAGTATAGAATTGTGAGCTACAGGGTGAATAGTCAAAATCACCATGTAAATTACACACATTCTTCAACGAATTGTAGCAGAAAGTTTTGAAACCAATCGAAGAAGTGTCAATGATCCATTAATGTGTGGAAATTGATAAGGTGTTTGAGCCTTACTATCTTCAAACTATGGAGCTTTAAGAGTCCCAATCAAGTTGTAGATCAATCGAATGAGTTGAATGTGATGTTGATGGTTTAGCCGCCCACGCAATAGAATTTTAATATCGAGATGAAGGGATGTGATGTATTCACAATATTGCTGTTTGAATGTGAGGAGATAATAAATTTTCAGGGACCTTGAGGATTTCTTCATATGGAGGTGAATGGCGGGTCCTCTTATATCAAGTTATTCAAATTCATAGGGTCGAGGGAAAGTGTTGTGAATGCTCTAAATCAGGATCAGTACCGCTTTGCGTGGGCTGTGATTTCAGCTTTGTATCCTGCCAATATGAGAATGTGTGAATCTTCATCATACCCTAACTTCTCCACCGTGTTGGATGTAGCAGGTATGGATTTTCCTGTTAAACTGAAAGATATTCTCAAATATTTGATGTAATCAATGACTGTTCTATCAATATTTATGGTTTGGAGAATTATTTCAAAAATGGTAGAATTGAATATGAAGTTGTAGGCCCGTTACAGTCTTCGAAACGAAGACTTTATATTTACTTGATGCTGCTGAATATAATGGATGATTCTGGTAAGTCATTATTGTTGGATTGAAGATTTATCGAGATTATTATCATCCCAAATATCTGCACAAGGTCATAGAAAATATTTTTGTGATGATTGTTCTTTTTACTTTGAAAATGAGCGGGCTTTATTGCAACATCAATTGAATGATTGTAATCACAAATCGACAACAAATATTAGAGTGGATGAATTCATTGAATGTGTATCTGAGAAGATTTTGAAATTTGAAAATATTGAGAAAGAGTTCCATTCGTTGTATACGTTGGTTTCGAATCAATTCTGAAACCAGTGCATTCAAATGAGCCAACTCTCACATAAATCGAACTTTTACCTTGTCAAATCTAGGAAGAGACTTGAGAAATATTTCTCTCTCTCTCTCTCTTATCTCTCTCTCTCTCTCATCTCTCTCTCTCTCACTATTTTCTAACGAACGCAGATCTAGTGGGCAGGGCCATAATGGAATTCTTAAAGCTCTTTCTATATTTGACAAGCTGTATCTTCATGAACGATACGCTTTCTAATATCTCATACAGTGCTCTTTTCCTGATTCCATTTCCGAATTTGTATTGTATAGACAGTATAGAGCAGCAGTTCTCAAACTTTTTTTGTGAGTGACGTAACCCTCTAGGAAAGCAAAATAAACAATAGTTTTTGAAAGTGTATTCTTTATTGATAAACATAATAAAAGTATAATGTAACAGTTATTTATTAGGTACTTACTTACATAACACGTATAGTAATAGAAAATATTAAAAAAGAAAAAATCTAACTAATGAGAGGTATGAAACTGTTTTCTATCATTCATCAATTGTTTGACATTGGGTTTGATAGAAGACAGCTGAAGTCTTTTATCAAGTTCGGTGTCCAGTCTATTGCGGTATTTTATTTTCGTGGCTGCATAGGTTGAGAATCCTGTTTCGCAAAAATATGTTGTTGGGAACGACAGGAGAATATTCAGAGCCATTTTGGCAATCATTGTTTTCAACAGTGACTTCATACTTGTGTCTGATGACATTTCTAAAAGAAATTCATATATCTCGTTTGACATACTTTCAAGCTTTTGTAAGTTGGGTAAAAAAGGATTATGAGTCCATGAATTCAATTTCATTTTCGTATTGTGTTTTTCGGGAAAATACTTTTCAAAAGATGCTCGCATCGAAGTGGAATATTTGTCCAATTCTTCGAATATTTCATCTTGAAATACTTCTGTGTCGTTATCACTATTACCCTCACTTAGTAAAGTGAAGCTTACTATTTTTTTCTCAATAACGCAAATAATCCAAAAATCTAATTTTATTATGAAGGCAGTTATTTTGTTACCGGCCTGAAACACTGTTTTATGTTTACCTTGCAATGATACATTTTATTCGTTCAGTTTTTCAAAGATATTTGGCCATAGAAGACAGTCGCAACAACCATGTTTCATTATGCAAACGGTCTTTCAAACTGAAAGAAGTATATGAAAAAAACATTTGTAACTCGGCTCTAAGTTCAAATAGCCTTGTTGAAGTTTTACCCAAAACAGTCATCGCACTTCTGTATAGAGCAGCAGTGTTTTATGTTTGCTGCCATAATCTTCACATAATAATGGGAACAATTGGGATTGTAGTGATCATGATTTGATAAAATTAATTATTTTTACAGCTTCATCCAATTTTAGATTTGATGGCATTTACCTCATCGCAAGTGCTTGTCTATGCAGGAAACAATGGCTGTAACTACAATTAGGCGCTTCATTTTTTCAATAAATTGATGGATGTAGCCGTTACTATGTGGTAGGAAAGCATAATGAAGAAAAGAGAAATGGAACTTTCTATGCTTCCACCACTTTTATTTGTAACTAACGTTACTGCAGTTTCGTCCTATACGGACATTTTCAAACTGCCTGATCACGAATCTGAAGGAATTTTGAGCCTATTTTGCCCTCTAATACGTTTTACCGTAAAAATGGGGTATTCCATCGCGAGTGGCGGACGGTGTATATCACTTAGGCCAACCCCATTCAGGTGGTAGGTGCATTTTGAGCATTTCCATCAGTCCAGAGAGTTTCATCGTTCTACCTCGAATATTACGGAAGATACGGGGAAAAACAAAAATGAAAACTAACCTCAATTTCTATATCACATTGGTCTTCTATCACTATTCAAATAGTTCATTATGATCTCCTGTATAAATACCATCACCAGATCACCTTCTTGCAATTATTCAAACATACTATTTTCAATGAATTTTATAAGACACTACTTATATTACCGATCCGAGAGGTAGATTACATTATTACGGGTCATTAAAATTGATTATTCAATTATTCATTATACATATTTCAGGAAACAAGAATGATTAGAGAGATTTATTATTATGATGGATATAAGATTTCTGAAATATGATGTCCTCTCCAAAATCATTTAAGATTCGTTAGGAACTGAATCTTGTTGATAATTAGACATTCTTCTAGGTAATTGAGCATGAAAATTTACTAAATTTCATAAACAATTCTCATGATGGATTCAAACCACATTTTTGCTTCATAACTGTCTTCTTTCATCATAGAAAACTGATTCTAATAGCATACAAAAAATATGTTCGCAATGAGGTACTCCCACACGAGGCACTGAAGTGAGGGGTCCCCCCACATATTTGTTGATGCACAATAGCGTATCGAAAATTTTCTAAGATGTCAACCGTGTGTGGTGTCTGGTCACACATTTTTGACAAATTCTCAATAACGTATTAGAAAAAATGAGCTGGGATGTTCACCGTGATGTTTTTAATCCAAATCACAGAAGATATATTTATCACTATATCAAATATGAGATTTACAGTGTTAGACCTTGAATTACTCCGCTTGCCTCTTGTTACACTACTGATGCCTACGACGCTTTGTACGATAGTCTGCTATTCTTCAGCAGAAAAGTTGAGAAGACGAAAGGAGGCGGTAAGGTGTCATTCCTAAACAATGCTGGCGCTTTCATGTTTCAATCTGCTAGTTATGAGTGGTAAAGAATTGGAAGCAAAGAATAATACTGAAGTTCAGTCCCAACACCTAACTTTACTTTTTTGTAGGTGTTTTTATATTCACATTTTTCGTTTCTACACTTACATTTATATTTATTTTTTACAAGCTTTGTCCACAAGATTTATTCATAATGACAATAGAGTACATTATTATTTTTTTTGCCGAAGTATGCGCTGGTCAGGCGATATCTCCCGAACCCCCGATACATTCGAGAGGGCGCGCCAGTATTATCAACCAACGATCACTTCCCACACCGTGGGGTAAGTGATCATTGGGTCCCAGAATCATGTGCCCTGAGCAAGCGCAGTGAGCCAAGAATGACATCCTTCTGCATCTGTCCGACTAAGATTTCTGCCTTAGTGCGGCAGACCGGTATGATTTTAAGATTCGAGAGTAGAGAGGGCATCACCAAGGACTCCAATAATTAGAACAATCATCTTGACAGAGTGGTCTGGATAGGGTCTGCGGAGTTCGAAGAGAAAATCTCGATATTTGATCCGTTTTTCCCCCTTTTTTCGAATGATATTAGTCTCGCCAGGAGCTGAAAACTCCACGACAAATATCGTCTTGCTCTGGTGGTCGAGAAGAACTACATCGGGCTTACTAGCTTGTATGAGCCTGAGGGTGGGGAACGAATAGTTCCAATAAATTCGGCACTTCTCGTTCCCCACTACAGACTCCATATCCCCCGAAGCGTAGGGCAATACCGATGTCTCGTCAATACCGTAAGAGTGCCGTAGTTGGTCTGAGGGCCACGTTAAGTCGATGGATATAGGCCGAGACCGCATATGCTGCACCTTATGCTAGGAACCTCTATACCCATCACGCAACTGCGGTAGACTAAGCTGTAGACTAAGACACCATCCTGGCAAGCCATGATGAACCCCTCAGTTTTCGACCTAAAGAAAGCAAAAATCAAGAGCTTTGATAAGCCTAAGTCTCCA